GTACATAAGAAATACTCATTTATTCTTAAATCTGCATGTCTTACCCAGATGGTTTTATCCTGTCACCACCCTGTGACAGAGCAAAATGTTAATCCAGTTTTCAGAAGAGACACTGGAACTTTACTTAAATTAAATGCCAGCCAACAGACAGGGTAAGTTTTTGGCAGGGTCAGGAGCTGAGCAGAGATTTTTGTCTGTCCCAATCTGTGCCATGTTCTCTAGGACACCCATTTAGCTGTCAGTGCTTATGTTTTCTCACTGATGTTACCAAGTAAAAAGTCTGGTGACGACTAAGATGATGACAATTTTAATTTTATTGGTGTGATAGATTTTCTTGCTTGAAGAATGCCCATACATAAGTGCATTTCTACTCAATCAGATGAGGTTTGCATCTGTTTTTCCTGCTTTCACTTTTGTCTCACCCGTTGTGCTGCCTCCTCTGACAAGGCAGCCAGGTGAGCATGATAATGTGGTACAGGTGATTGCACTTCCTTTTCTGCAAAAAGGCAGAATTTCTGTTCCTTTATACCCTTGTGTCAGGTTCAGGGACAAATAGTCCCTCAGTTTTTGTAAACCTGGAAATTAATTACTGAAGTGTTGACTACTGCTGTCCTGGAACTGAGCTGTGGCCAAATTAAGAAGGTATATATTCAATAACCCTTAGATCTGGGGTCCCTGCTGTGCCACAGGAACATGATGTACCAAGTAGAGTTTGAGCTTCTTTAGTGGTTTTTCCTTAAAAAAGGTGCAGGAGTTTCAGTTTCTTGCCTGAATTATTGAGCTTGAGAAATTTTCCAGCATTTGAAGTGGTGACAGATCCCCATGGTTTGTATTTGGGGTTCTGATGATATTTATCAAGTTCAGCTTTTACAGCACCTCTGTGAGATGGAATCATCATTGTCAGATGGAAACGTAGCAGGATGTGGAGTGACCTGCCCCAAATCACCCTGCAGACCTGTGTCAATAGATGAGTGGATTCTTTCCTCCTTTAACTTCCCCATCATCCTTTCATGAAAGTGAATTTGCCTTCTGACATAGACACAGGTGATATTGTTACCCATTGAATCATTTAGGTTGGAAAAGCCCTCTCAGATCATCAAGTCCATTAACCCAGCACTGCCAAGTCCCCACTATATCCATGTCCCCAAGTGACACATCCACATGTTTTTTTAACAGTTCCAGGAACAGTGATTCCACCACTTCCCTGGCACAACCAGCTCTTTCTCAGGTAAGAAATGGTGCCTTTCCAACCAGATTTCTCATGGTCAGCATGCTGACAGCTCTCAGCTTGTTTTATTTCAGTGATGGACAAATTCAGTGCTGCGATGGCTGAACTCATCCCTCCTGTAACCCAGGCTCTGCACAGGGGGCCTGCTGACATAATAAACAATTGCTCTCTATAGCTTTAGTAATGTGAGCATTAATATTGATCCAGCACTGACTTCTCTAACGACCAAAAAAAAAAATGTATCTGTTATCTTGAGAAACCTCCCAAACAGCTCTAGTCTCCTTTCATTACAGGGGAGAGTTATGAGGGCAGATGGCTGAGGTGATATCCATTTGACCTATAGATGCTAACTCGGGCTGGATCATTAATAAGGTGGCCGGAGATAGGGAGAAATGGCAGTAAAGAGAGTTAAAAAGCAATCCCATGCACAAAGGATGGTGTGTCCAGAAGTGCCAGGTGGCAAATGGGATGGACAAAGGTGAGGAAGTGGCTGCGTGGTTGTAAATGCTCATCACCAAGTCAGGCAGCAAACACTTAAAAGCTGAAGTTTTTCCATATTTAGTTCTTGCTCTGGTGTTAATCCTTTGGGAGGAAAAAGAGACGTAGGTCTTGAACTCAAGATAGAAATTTCACTTTCTCTAATTAACTACCCCCCTCCACTGTCACAAGAAAAAAAAGAAAAAAAAGTGCTTCATTGTTTTCTGCCACAGCTGTGGTGGCTCAGGTTTGAAAGGCGCTGCCTGGCAGAAAACCAGTCCTTGCTGAGGATCAGACTGTGGCCTTGTTCCAAGAGAAATTTGGATTTCATTTGACCATGATAGGATTCCAGATTGTCATCTGAGCATGTCTGAAAAGTGGTGAATGTGTGTTAGGAGTTAAGTGCTCATGAACTTCCTTAGTCCCTGGATTGTTCAGGACTGACCCAGGCAATTTTTTCCAGATGTTTTGGGGAATCCAAGTCCATATAAAAGGGATGGTAATGCTTCTGCTTCCTTACTAAGTTGTCTTTGTGGCTTGCAGGAATGTGCATGAAAGCTGGAGCCAAGACACCCCGATTTCTTGTCTCACCTCTACAAACTGCACTTTAACCTTTCTGCCCTTCCCTGGCACCTCCACACAAGATCACAGAAACTTCGTGGGCCCGCTGCAAACTTTACTTGGCCTTATTTAAAAAAAAATAAGCATTGCTCTTTTTTTATTGTACAGAACTCCGGTCCCTGTTCTCCAAAGCTCCTCTGAAATTGTTTTTTTGCCTTTGATCCAGCAGCTGCTGGTATTCTGCAATCCTAAGTAGGTAAAACATGAGAAGCACCTTGGGATGGGAAGGAGTTATAAAAATATGAAATATTGCAGCATCCTTCCCTCAGATACAGTTTAAGAGGGGGGCTGTTTAAATGGACACTGGGCAAAAATCTTTAGCAAATAAATATTCTGATTTTTCTAGTAAATGTAAATTTTTTACTGTTGCAGTAGTTTATTTTCCACTTTACTGACTCTTTTTATCCCCATGTTTCTTGCATTAAAATGGTTAATGTTCCTATCTCTAAAGTCTGTATCATCAAACCCTATCTTTCCTAATATTTTAATTCGGCTACACTTTTCATCTTGTGGCTGAGGCAAAAGATTTCTCTAAATCCCAATTTTAAGATATGATGTTTGTTTTAAATTTTATCTCCTACTTTTAAATGAAAACAAACTCTCAATGCTGAAGTAGGTGGAATGGGGTTGGGAGGGAATTGCTCAGTAGCAACCAGTGCTGTGTGACATCTAATGAATGCTGATTCTTCATCCCCAAAACCTTCTGAGTGGGTGAAGGCAGCTGATTTCTGCAGCAGCTTAAACAGAGATTGAAATTACTTCCATGATGGGGGAAGCAGATTTTTTTCCCCATAGCAGGTGCAGGCTCAGTCCACAGTGATTTCTCAGTTATACTCTAACTTTGCAGTTTAAAAAATTTAATGTCAGTGCCCAGCCAGGCAAAACCTAACTCCCTAACATTTCTGTTTTTCACGGAAGGCTAAGACTTTATCCTCAGGCAAAGTCTCCTCTCTGGGCTGGCTGCTGTAAATCCTCTGGGCCCTGGTGAAAGCCAGACTTGCTAGCTCATTTTACTTAATTTGTGATGCTGGCAAGATTTGTGCTGCAGCCCAGGGCTCTTGACTCAACTCTCCTAAATCAGAGCATTGACACATTACAGTAGAGAAACACCAGCGCAGAAAACCTGAAAGTAAACTCCTTGAAAATAGATATTTCAGAAAAATGCTGTCTTACTGAGTTGTAAATAGCATTTAGTGGAATGTTTCAAGTTTCTTGGTGCTTTCTTCGTTAAATCCACTTGCTCATTAAGAAACTGGGTTTTAACCACTGTCCTCATAAATGTTTTTTACTACATATTTCATGTGAGAATCTTGGGGCACAGGATATCTTTCCTCAGAAACCCTACTAGACAAAATGTCTTGAGTTTTTGCAGGTAGGTAAACAGAAACTTGGGGTAAAGTGAAATGAGGTTGTCTGTGTAGGAATGTTAACCAGCAGAAGTGTAATGATGTAATTACTGCAAATACAAATGTGTCACATTAATGCCTGTGTAGACATTCTTATTCAGGACTAAGAATCCTTTTTCCTGCTCAGATAATTCCATTTTGAAAGTGAGGAAGTGTATCCAAGAGGATAAAGTGCTTGGCTGTGGTTGTGGAGATCAGAGGTTCTCTTTTTAAATCTACTGTGGATTTGTTGGGAGATCTCAAGTGAATTTTCTCCTTTCTCTGCACCATAGTGTCACATGTGGGTGTGAAGATGGTAGTTTATGTAGGGAAAAAAAATAAATGTTATTAAACAAAAAAACATCGCAATCACACAGGTGGTATCCACAGTGGTTCGAAATAGTTGATGTCTGGTGCCTACACTGTGTAGATTTCAGGTTTATCTTGCTTTCAGAAGCTGAATTTTGGTTTTTGAATGCCCACTTGCTCTGGAGTGTTTTAGGTGGATTTCTCCTTCATTTTGGTTTCACTGCTGCAGGAATTCAGCATATGCATATCATACCAGTATATGCACTCCAGGACTGTCCCACAATGCAAACAAAACAGCAGTAAGGGAGATGATGGGGAAATGCATTTCAAAGGCATGTTCCTAATCTGAACCAACACACACACACGATGCTGGGGCATTCCCATATAGTCATAACAGATAATGTCCACCTGCAGCAGCTCTTAAGATGGTATCAGACACAGAACCTGGCAGGTTGAATGGGGCTTAGTCATCTTCTTTAACCTTCAGACTGTGCTGCTTCAGGAAGAATAAACTAGGTTTAAGAAGATGTTTTCCTAGTAGTTAATCTGTAGTCAAAATTGTGTGATATATAGGCAAGAAAGACAGTTCTGATTAATTTTACTTTGACACTTTGCTTGACACTGTATTAGACCAAAAAATGTTTCACCTCAACCTCTTTCCCTTCATTTAAAAATGAATGAAGAAGTTAGGTGGGAGAAGTAGGTTGGTTTTGGTTAGAACTGACACTTTGGACCTGCTCTGAAAGCTCTGCCATTGGTGAGCTCTACCCTCCTCTCCTTTGCTCATGGGTTCAGTGTTACTGCAGTGAGGGCACCCCCAGTTCCAGCAGGGGCTGATGTGAGACAGGAGGTGCCACCTGTTCCTTCCACACAGACCAGTAAGAAGCTCTTATGTGTCCAGTTGTCTGCACATGAATATTTGCTCTGGTGCTTGTTTGTTTCAGTTATCCTAATGCTTTTCTAAATGTTTTCTGTTACAGAAGAGGAAGAGGAGCAGGTTCCTACCGATGGAGGTACATCTGCAGAGGCCATGCAGGTCCCACTGGAAGAAGAAGGAGATATGGAAGAGGATGAGACAATTAATGATGAGAACTACTTAAGCAAGAGACCATTAGAAAGTCCTGATGCTGAGGAATTCCCACCTGTGAAAAGGCCAAAACTGTCTGTTTCCAAAGGGGACCCCTTGGACGGAACTGTGGAACCACGTGAGCCTCTTAGCTCAATAAATACACAAAAAGTACCACCAATGCTTTCTCCAGTTCACGTTCAGGACAGTACAGACTTAGCCCCCCCTTCGCCAGAACCACCTATGTTGGCTCCCATTGCAAAATCCCAAGTGCCGACCCCCAAAACTTCAGAGGCAAAGCCGTTTGTACCCAAAACAAAGTCCAAAACAAGTTCTCCAGGACAAAAGACAAAATCGCCGAAAACTACACCCTCACCAGTGGTAGCTGGGAGTCCCATTCGTTCACCAAAAACTGGATCCAAAGAGAAAAAATCACCAGGTCGCGCCAAGAGCCCAAAAAGTCCCAAAAGTCCAAAGGTTCCTGCTCATGTTCCGCAACCACCTGTGAAGCCTGAAACACCAAGTAAAACCCCTCTGGCTGCATTGAGTGAGAAGATAGGAAAGGAAAATATTCAAGTGAAACAGGGACAGACACCACCTGAGCCTGCCCCCAAGCCAAATATGGACAACCAGGTGAAGAAAGTCCCCGTCATGGACAAAACTATTGATGATTCGATCGATGCTGTGATTGCTCGTGCGTGTGCAGAACGGGAACCGGATCCCTTCGAGTTTTCCTCCGGGTCTGAATCAGAAGGGGAAATTTTTACCAGTCCTAAAAGACTTTCTATATCTGAGTCTACAACTCCTAAACCTTCTGTTCCTGCCAATAATGCAAATAAGGCAGGAGGAACTCCAATACCTGCCTCAGGTGGGACTTCAAGTTCAGACATTTCATGGACAATGGATGACTCCATTGATGAGGTCATTCGGAAGGCAAACATGGGGACACCTTCTAATCCACCTACCAACTTCACTTATTTTTCCTCTCCTTCTGCTTCACCTCCAACTCCAGAGCCTCTTCTCAAAGTCTATGAGGAGAAAACCAAGTTGGCTTCATCAACAGAAGTGAAAAAGAAATTGAAAAAAGAGCTGAAAACTAAAATGAAGAAGAAAGAAAAACAAAAAGAAAAAGATAAAGAGAAGAACAAGGAGAAAAATAAGGAGAAGGAAAAGAACAAGGAGAAAGATAAAGACAGGGAAGGAAACAAGGAAGCAAAGTTTCAGTGGAAGGAACTACTCAAAGAGGATGATCCTGATCTGTATAAATTCAAACTAAAGGACTTTGAGGATGCTGACACAAAAGTAAAGTTGAAAGATGGCAATACCAAAAAAGAGAGAGAAAAACATAAAGATAAAAAGAAAGAGAAAGAGAAAGGCAAAAAGGACAAGGATAAAAAAGACAAAGAGAAACTCAAAGATAAGAGTAAGGAAGATAAGATAAAGGTGCCATCAGCACCTCTTGTGTTACCTCCCAAAGAAATGTCTATGCCCTTGTTCAGCACACCATGTGCCATGAGGCTTCCCAGCATGTTACCTTCCTTGTCTCCCATGCTACCTGAGAAACTATTTGAGGACAAGGAGAAACCAAAAGAGAAGAAGAAGGACAAAAAAGAGAAGAAGAAAAAGAAAGAAAGGGAGAAGGACAAAGAAAAGGAAAAGAAGGAGAAGGAAAAGGAGAGGAAAGAAAGAGAAAAGAAGGAGAAAGAAAAGGAGAAACACAAACATGAAAAGGTAAGCTGGTTGGATGAGTTGAGATGGCACACTTGCTTGAAAAATCCACATGGATTCCTATGTTTGCTGCTGAGCATTGTCCAAGAGCTTTGAGAAGTGTGGTTACAGGTTTGGTGTTTCTTAATAATAACAGCTCCAAGGAAGGTGTCCACCAAGAGCTTCAGAGATTGTCCACCTCTTTGGAAAACAAAACAGTGGAAATCTAGTTCTGTGAATTTGAAATGTGAGATTGTCCTGTCTTTTCTCAACTCACTTTTCACTTGGAAAAGCTTCAGCTCAGAGTCAACAGCGACACACACAGCAAAGGGATGCAGTGTTGTGATGCAGCAAGTTTGTTCTGTAGGTTTCCACTAGAAGGGCAGCATTATTATTATTCTTATTATGCCTTTCATATAAACTTTACATTTTGTTTCTAAAAGTCTGCTGTTTCAAAGTTTGTAGAAGCCTGGAAATTCCCAGGTGGACAGAAAAGAGAAGCAGTCTGCCTTCAAATAAGTATTATCTCACATGCTCAAAAGAGCTGCTGAGTCTTCTCTTAGCAAATCTGCCCCCCTGCACCAATTTGTTTGAAGTAAGAAAATTATTTTCCAATTATGGTCTAAGTGTTCAAATGTCACCTTTCGTTCTGAGTCTTATGCTTTAGAGACTGAAGGGGAGAGCTAATTTTCAAGGGGTTTGAGTTCCTCGCATTCCTGTAACTCTTACTGATTTACATCAGCCAAAGATAATTTCTTCTTTCCAATATCACCTAATCTCGAGAATATATTTAATATTTAAGAAATGAAACCAGCATATTTGCATGTTATCAGATTTGAAATCCCATTAGAAGCAGCTACCCTAATTCAGGATTTGCTCTAATTTTTTTGTCACTTCACCTTATAATACGCATTAAATTGTTAATATTGAAAAGAAAGAAGGAAAGAAAGAGATTGTCTTCCTATGTGATAACCTTGGATACAAGAGTTCCTAAATCTCTGTCCTTAGCCTTAGGAAGCACTGTGTGAGTTCCAGTTTTACCAAGATGCTCTTTACGTCCTGCTTTGAGTATAATACTTGGTTTGTACACGCTCGGATTTGGGATATTCCTCACTTTCTTTTTCTTGCCACTCTTACATTACCTGCTGGACTTGCAACAAAGTGCTGATTTCAAAATGTGCTATATTTTTAAAGTTTACAAATGGTTTGTCCATGCAGAATCTGGGTGATGTGGGGAACTAAAGTTTGTCTTCTGTGGATGAGTTGGTGATGGATGGGGTGGTGGCCCAGTTGTCCATGATAATTTAATGTCGGCTCTTAGACTGCAGCAACACTTTCACAGATTCCCCATTTTATCTGTCTGCCCCTTGTGCCTGAGCTGTTTCGACAGTATTTAGTTGAGAATTTCTGCTGAGATTTATTTTTTAAATTAAATATGGGTGTGTGTAAAATAGAGGCAATTGTTTTGCCTCACTGCATATGCATTTCTTCTGCAGTTGTCTCTGTCAAGTTTGCTTTAGAGTGATAAACAGACACATAAACAAATACAAACTGGTAAAGCTTCAGTATAGACTCACCATATATATATATATTAGGAAAAGGAGTTCAACACTAATAAAAACTCGGACAAATTAAATTGACAAAGCTGCCCATTACCTTGGCAAAAAGTCCCTGTCAAAAGATAAACTTTAAAGCTAGAATGCATGAAAGAGTCCCCAGATAGAATTAAAATTTAAACTGATTCTTGAGAGATAAGCTTTTTTTAAATCCACCTCTTTGCTGCAAGTCAGGATTTTAAAAATAAATTTCCCCTTTAAATCTCTTGAGCGATTTTCATTTTTTGCAAGGCCGCACTGCTGGTGTCCTGGAAAAATGGAGAGTTAGAGCTTTATCAGTTGGTGCCCTGAGGTATGTGGCAAAGAAGCTAAATCCTTGAAGATTAGCAAAAAAAATGCAGCACATGGCAATAAGGGGCTTATATGACTACTAGTATTAGTTCAGGTGAAAGAAGTATTGCTTATACATAAAACTGGACAAATCCACTGACAATGTATTTTTAGTTAGCTACAAAGGAGTCTTATATTGCTGGACTTTACCTCTTTGGTGATTTGGGAAGCTTAGTAATCCACTGTAAATGCTCTTCTGCTGGCCCCAATTCCCAGTATTACTCCAGAATGCTGCTCTTTCGTTTTAACCCCTAAAAGTACATGTTTCCTTAATTTAGCTTTTAGATCACACAATGACTTATTTAGCCAGCAGTTGTGCTGCAAGAGCAAATGATCAAGTTACAGTTTGGATGTTTAATCTGCCACAGCGCGTCTGCCTTGGAGGTGTAAGCACAACCTGGGAGATGAGTTCGTGGGCTCGCTGCAGTTTCATCTCCTGATGACCAGGAGAAAATATCAGAGTCCCATTTCCAATATTGCTGTAGTTAAACAAAAGACAGACTCAGCTGTAATATTCCCATTTTTGAGCCTTGTTCTAGTTACTATCTAAGTGCACATCCCATCCTGTTGGGTGATTGAGGCTTTTTATCGAGTTTTTCCTGGAATTTTGCCCTAGGCAGCTGAAAGGTACAGAGCAGCAAACAGAACACTATAAATGGCAGAAAACAGAAGCTAAAAGGCTTCATGCTGGGGGTGTTTGGTGGTGGCACCAAGAAGGAGGAGCTTTGTCTCAGGGCTTGCCGGCAGCTCCATGCCCTGCAGTGGTGTTGGGTGCTGCCCTCGGAGCCAGAAGAGGAGCTCTGGGGCACTGCCTTGCAGGCTCCACCAAATGAAAAGCAAACATATGGAGAAGTTACACCCCACTTTACTCCAGAGATTACCAGGCATGCTGTAGGAGTGACTGAGCAGCTCAGGGAGCAGCTGCTGACCCAGTTTCAGCTAACCTTAATAAGCTGAGCTGGAAACTAAAGTAGTTGAGGAACTGCTTCATGAGAAATGGAAACATCCTTGCATCAGGGCAGGGCTCGCCAGAGCTGCCCCAAAGTAAGGTGCCCTTGCTCCTCTGTCAAAATCCTATCAGTGTAGAGGAAGACCAAGCTCTGCAGGATGTAACTGTGAATGCTCCTTAGTTTTCTCCCTGGTCTGATGATGTAAACCCTGCACACAAACCCACGCTGTAGAAAGATGCTTCCTCTCGTATCAAAGGGTAAGATTTAGCATTGTGGTGGAGGCCTGTTTTCTACTCCCAGCAGACTGTGGTGTTGGTATCTGAGCATAAAGTGGTTTATGTGCTTTTCTTCTGCCCTGTGAGCCCACACCACCATTGTTTAGAACAGAACCAAGGACCTTTATAAATGACATGAGCATCTCTCTGTGCTGTGTGCTGGAAGCTGCAGCAGCTGTGCCTGTCCTGAGACATTCTGTATTCAAAACAGGCACTAAAGAAGAAGGAGAACCTGCAGGAGAAGAGGCAAAATAGCCTGTGCAAAGCCATAGTCCTGAGCCTCCAGTACCCAGGGTTCGGTTTCAGTCTGTAAGCAGTGGGTGATGTTACAGGTTAAGATGCTGAGGAAACAGAGAAAAGACTCATCTGTGGAAGATGGCAGTGAAATTGTTGCAGGCATTTGAAGCTTCAGAGGAAAAAATCTCTTGCAACACTCCAGGGGAATGACGTAACAAAAAATGTTTCTGCATAAACAAAGAGTGGAGAGAGGCCTGTGAAATCAGTTAATCCATATCCATGGAGAGCTGTATTGCAAAGTACAGTTCACTCTGTCAGAGCAGGAGCACCACTCAGGCTGCTCTCCTCTCTCTGGCCTATACATCTCCTAGAGAGCAGCTCCAATTCTTTTGCCAAAATGCTTGGCACGAGATTTTGTTATTACCTTTCTCAAAATAAGTCCCTCTTGAGCCCTCCCACTTTGGCCTGCTGTTTCCCACACTGCTTTCTGTGCTTTGCATTGATTGTTTGCTCTCCCTTTTTCTGTGAAAGCTTTATGAAACTGGAGATTTGATCAGATTTCCATTTAATGTATGCATATTAGTTTTGTCTCTTGGATTCCTGGAGCAGATTCAGCCAAGTGGTTGTTTTATTAAATATGGTGACACACATACTCAAAACGAGATCAGTCTCCATCTCTCTTCATATATATACACACACATATAATGTATATACACTTTTCATATATGGATCTAAGTTGAGTAATGAATGCCTGGAGAATCATTACAGTGTCAGCTGTAGCATCTGTGCTCATTCTGTACAGGTTTTGCAAACCAGTAGCTCAGTGGGAGCTGGTAATTTTGGCATATACTGGTTCCATAAGTTCAAGGACATATTCAAGTGGTCTAAACTCCACCAGATACCAAGATTGGAATCCCAGGCCACTTGAAAAATAGTCATTAAAAACCTCAGCCTAATTGCAGTAAAATGCATTGGCTGTTATGCCAGTGTGGATAAGAACTTTCATAAAGTATTCATTGTTGGCGAATTCAGCTTGGAGTTTATTTGCTTCCTTTGTCTCTCTTTTTGATTCAAGAGAGTCATGGTACATTTTTGTGATGAACCTGGGAAATAATTGAATTTAAGTATCAGAAAAATGTGCAAACACCAATAGGTGTCTGTCAAGTTTGAGTACTAAGATCAAAGCATTTCATGTCATTGTTTAGAAACAAACTGTGAAGTTTTGTGTCTCTAGAAAAGTACTTAGTTAGGAAGATTTGCAAACAAATTGTATCAGGAGGTACAAATACAGCAAAATTTCAAGTTGATGTTTTTAGCTTAAAGTTTGTATTTGTGAATTGCTATGGCTGGGACTCCCTGCAGACTGAGACCCATCCATGCCACGGGATGAAGTGTGAGAGAATAGTGATTAGTCTCATTAAGCTGATATACTCTGGTTAACTCCATCAGTCCTTTCATGTAATTAATGTATTTTGAGAATCTGCTTGCATCTTTGATTGATAATTGTATTCCCCTGTACAGATAAAGGTGGAACCAGTTGTTCCAGCTCCATCACCGGTTATTCCTCGGCTGACTTTAAGAGTGGGCGCAGGCCAAGACAAGATGTAAGTACAAATAAATCCATCTGTAAGGTGTATGCTCACCCCAGTCCATCCTCTGGCACTTGTGGGAGCTCTTCTTTTCAGTGGGAAAAGCTTAAAAATTAGTGGTAAATTACATTTATACAGCAAAGTGTATTCTCCAAGTGAGATCCATCACCTTCCATCCATCCTACTGTGTGTCCCATTCCATGTCTTTCTAGGGCATGGATTACAGGACTCCATCTAGGCTGGCACAATGCCTCCAGTGACATTTAGTGTGGTTTCTGTAATGGATGCTTATCCTGAGTGTAACCTACACCTGAGTTTCACAACACTCCCCAGCTAACAGTTGTTTTATGCTTTAAAACATAACAGTTGGAATTCCTTTATACACATCTGTTTTATTGTAACTGTTGATGATTATTCATGAGTGTACCTAACGCATTTCAAGTGCTGGTTCATTAGCTCCCTAATTATTGGGTGCTGTTGTACAAATAATAGTTACTTTGTACTGGATGAGCATAAATAGGGTGATCCCTATCCTGAGATCATCCAGCATAAACAGGAGGCTGGAGAGGCTGGGGAAACAGTGCGTCACCAGGCTTCTTAGGCTGGTCCTGTGTTGTATGTGATTCTTTTAATCAGGTTTTTTGTGTTGATTTCATGGCACAAAGCACACTTTCATGTCCAGTGGTAAATATGAGCACCACACAGATCTTTTATTTCCATTCCTTGCATTAAATACTGCTAATGCAATTGTTTCTCTTATGGAGCCATTAGGAACTAAACCCCCTAATCACTAATTTTTCTGCTCTAGAAATTAAATGGGATTTTGATGATTATTTTCTTTTTCTCTGATTCCTTTTTCTCCCCAATAGTAACCATGACTTTTACTGGTTTGAAGCTGCTGAGGGACTTCAGTCATTCCTTGGTTTCTAAGGGACACCCGCACCCCAATTATTAACCATTTTTGCTTTCTTCCTTTCAAAGTATTTGAGTGTGATCTAAAATTTCTGTGCCTCAGGTTGCTGAACAAAGTTCCAGCTTTCTCAGAATACTTGTTTGTCCTGCTGAGCATGATTTGAATGTGCATGGCTGAACATACTGTCCCTTGAAAGCCCACAAATCCATTTTCCTCCTTGAGGAGCCATGGATACTTTAAAATTCTGCTTTTTCAAGGGTTGTAGAGTGTTTATATGGGGGAAATTAACTCATATTTTCAAGGCAGAACTTCTGAATTAAAGTTCTGAAGCCATATTCTAGTACCAGTTATCTTCCAACCTTACCTCACCACAATGTTTCTCATACCCACACATGTTTTGAGAGGGGACTTCAGACTCCATCTGTTTGCTACAGGTCATGTGGGTGCATCATTGTCATCCCTGCCAGCCCTCAGTGGGTCTGAGATACTGACATCTTGTTCCATGTGCTTTTGTGAAACTCACTTTTATTTCAAATTCATTTTTGCATCTTTAGTGGCACCTTGGCCCCCATCTGAGGATCTCATAACAGGCAGAAAGAAAAGCTTTTTTGATGTGTTATAGTAAGGGAAAGTTAAACTTACGTTTCATCTGTGTCAGTAACGATACTCTAAATACCTGGCAATTATCATACAAAAATGTTGTGTTTCAATTAGCCTGTCTCTGGAGTTTACTGGCAAGGGATTGTTTGAAGATATCATGAATCTCTATGGAAAGGTACAAGGAAAGTTTTTAAGGATTACTAGAATTTGATATGAGTAGAAACTAAATGGAGAAGCAAAATCTCTCTGCAGTGCAGCTGGGGCTCTTCAGCCTGGAGAAGTGAAGGCCGTGGAGAGATCTTAGAGCCCTTCCAGTGCCTGAGGGGCTCCAAAAAAAACTGCAGAGGGACTTTCTACAAAGTGACATGGAGTGACAGGATAGCGGGGAGTGGCTTCAAAATGACAGAGGGCAGGGTTACATGGGATATGAGGAAGAAATTCTTCCCTGCGAGGGTGGGGAGGCCCTGGCACAGGGTGCCCAGAGAAGCTGTGGCTGTCCCATCCCTGGAAGTGTCCAAGGCCAGGCTGGACAGGGCTTGGAGCAACCTGGGATAGTGGGAGGTGTCCCTGCCCATGGCAAGGGATTAGAGCTGGATGATCTTTAAGGTCCCTTCTAACCCAAGTCATTCTGTGATTTTGTAATTTTAACTTCTTGACTCCTCTGCATGGACCAGTGTACAAAGCAGTGATGGCAGCAGCAGGAAGGTCTTTTCTCTTGAGTTTGGTTGTGAATAACAGTACATATTTCTCTCAGATTTAAAGTAATACCTGCATTCAGGCTTGTTTGGAGTGCAAATGTTCTTACAACACACATCAGCTCAAAAGAAGTGGCCATTTACAACATTGGGTTAATAGACATGAAAATGTATTATTGCTGAAGGATGGACAAACCAATATTGGAAAAACTGTCCTACTTAAGAGTTTTTTTGCAAGTGTTTTAACTGCACAGTAAAACAAGAAGAAAGTAGATTATTATCAAAGCATTTCCATCTTAGTTGTAAACAATTACAGCAATACTTGCATGGATGCCACATTAGAAGAAATTTACTGGATTCCATTCTAATGCAATTAGAGCTAATTTTGTTCTTTAAATGAATAAAAGGTCAGCTAGTAAATCTAGTTTATCTCAAGTCCAGGCTTCAATAAATTGTTTTATTTAATTTGTTGTAAAAGATCTTATCCTTAATGGGCCTTGCTCTTATTGGTTTGCTTGGGTTCTAAAATATTTATGACCACCTTTTTAGATATGATTTGAATGATATGTAGGAAGGGTTTTTCACTTTTTTTTTCCATTCCAGTGTTATCAAGGTAGATTGCTAACTGAGTTAGTATAGGAAGGAACTAGAGATGCTATCTTTTTTCAAAACAAAACAAGCAAAATAAAAAACACAGACTTTTAAATTTTAAATGAACTACAAATGATGAGTAGGGTTTAATACTTTTGCTCAATTACATCATGGCTTTTTTTGGTCTTGTTATTTTTCCTAAGAACTATCATTTTTCATACATAAAAGTTTTTTTAAATCATATCTATTGATAAAGGTGTTGACATTACAGCTACTACTACAGCTGACATAAACTTCAGCAAAAGTACATGCTGTAATGTTTGATACTTCTGATAAATTTATTCTACATTTAAATACAGCTTTTAAGAAAAAACACATGGCGTTGACACTAATGCCAGACCACAAAGCACAGTACTACTCACTGGGTGCTGTCTCAGTGTTTCTGTGTCCTGGAAGCAGGATATATGTTTTTTGTGAAATCAGGTCTCCAAATTTACCTTAAAATTTCAGACTTTTGCTCCAGACCCATATCATAACTCTGCCATCAGCAGGGAACCTGGAAAGCAGACAGGAAGAAAGGGAAAGACAGGCATTTTAACAATGTTTAACTGGCAAACCTGACCTGCTGCTCTAATGAAATTTCCCCTTGTCTTCTATATTTTTTCAGTGAGTAGGTATGTGACTTTCTCCAAAAACAGATCGCACACATGCTTAGATATGTATGTGTATGTGCCTATAAAAATGTATAATAAACAACCTGTGGATTGTAAGATAAATTCCTAAAAAGATTAAAGGATGAAAAAAATTTTGTTACCCAGATACTTAATTGTCCCTACTAAAAATCTTTATTACTTGGTAGGATAATATCAGTCTAAAGCCAACTTATTTATGTGTGGAGGCTCATTCATCTGCATGATACCCCCATGACAAAAGCCATGAGCAGAACCACCTGACATCCTGTGTAGAGGATCTCAAAACCAAGGGTCAAGATGGAGGAATTATCCTGTGATCATAGATGTGACCTCTCTTTGAAATATCAGTGACCCAGAAGAATATTTTTGGGACTGGGAGGACAGGAGAACCTAGTTTATTACACCAAGTTTCTTGATTATCCATGTAAGAAGTTCCACAACCCTCACAGAGAAGAATTTTTTCCCAATATCCAATCTAACCCTGCTCTCTTTCAGTTCTATTTGCTCAAGAATTGGTTATTTTAAGTGCAACACAAAATTGCAGCAAATCAGTTCTTCACTCATACTTTTTGAAATCCCACAGAACTACATAATTTCACTTGTAGCATGCAGAGTGCCACCCAAGTGCATGCTCACCAAAAAAGAGATGCCTTAATGCTGGATCTTCTATCTACAACAAGCTTAATTTATGAAAGAGTTGAGTTGCAAACTCTCCAGAGATTGAATTTTCTTGGGAAAACTGCACACACTCATACACAATCAGACTTTAAAAGGTCATGGCACCAAGGGAGGAGAGAAGAAGAAGGTTTTAACAAATACATCCATATGTTTCTTATTGACAGTTTCTTATTGAAGAAAGAAATTAGACAAGAACTGTGTTGGTGCTCCCCAAAACTCACTGGGGATCTGAGTTGCTGCTGTAACATGAATGTGTGTTATTTTAAAACTGTTCAAGCTCTATGTGAGTTGTGGAAAACTGGATATCCAAGACTTTGCTGCTAGTTTGGGTTAAAGTAGAATCCTGCCCTATGCGGTTTCCAAGAATGCACCTGACTGTTACAGAATCATCTTTGGTGTATATTCAGGAGCTTCAGTTTTTAACTGGGTTGTTCTCATACAGATAAATCAGAGGGTGTGAAGAAACTTTTGCGCTCGTCAGACTTTGATAATTTACATTATTGTCTTCATAGTGTTTGCCCACAAAAGCTGAATAATGGGGTTCATTAAGCTCCCTGTACAGGCATATCCAAATTGTTTGCCTCCAGCCTTGGCTCCCGACGTGTGGCTGGGGAGGGAAGGATTGGCTTTTTATTGACTTGTCAAGCCTTAGGTTTGCATTACCAGCCAATAGCTCATGACCCATTCCATTTATTGCACTGTTTTGTGGTGGGGAAACAGGTAAAGGAATACTGCTGGAAGCCCCTCCTTCTGCACGTTTTGATGAATAAGGGCAGTGTTTGGAGCAGTTAAGGCACCGTGACCAAACCCTTGGACAGACAGAGTGGCACAGCATGGGGCTATTGT